GCAAACAATTAAGAACAAGCTGGAGGTGAGGTTTGAAAGCGGGGACTCAGAGCCAAACCTCATATGCTCGAATGTCCAAGTTGAAATCAATGTCCAAGTTGATAGTTCTAAGCTGCGATATGATCGAATTCTACTCAAAAACGTTAACCATGCCTTCTTATCAATCAATCCGACTCATATGCTCGACCTACACATGTTTTCAAATCTACCAATCTCTTTAACATTCATTAGTTCTGGAACGTAAATCAAGCAATGCATCATCAATGAACTCATTTGGCTAAGGTAAAGGTCAAAAGACAAAGATGGTCCCTTACAGAATAGGCTTCAGTAACAGGGGATCTCTCAAAAAATGATTAAGCTTTAGTAGAATGCTAAAGGTAAGTCCCAAGCTATGCATACAGAAATAAGATCCCATCTACCCAGAGTATGTCAAATGAAACTCTAATGGTAATCCCATCTCCAATCCCAATATAAGAACCTAACTTTACTTTTTGCATTCATGAATCCTTTAAGCCCTTTTTCTAATCATTCTTTTCTTTTCTCTTAACTATAGGAGAAGCTTTCTCAACACTATGATACATCTAGTGTATTTGGATTTCTTTAACAACTAAGGTTCCTGCTTTTAAAATTTTTTAAACCGAGGGCTTTTGCCCATCTTTAGTAGCTAACAAGAACTCTTTCTTTTCTTTACAAATCCCAAAACCTTTACTAGACTTTTTCTGCTTCTTTAGCTTACTTCACCTAGAGTCTTTTACCTTTTCTCATCAATGAATCAACCCCTTTTTTTTCTTTTAAAATCATCCCAACCCAAAGTATAAGCGCCCACCTAGTCCTATCTAGTCCGAAAATGTAAACTAGAACTACATGAGACACTATCTCTGTCGTTACGAACCTAACACTTTCTACCAAGTGATATAGGGCTTGAAAGAAAGTCTAGGTTTGGGTTTGGGTTAACAGCTCTAATAAGGAGAGTCAGCTACTTGGATTAACCAGAGTGATCAAAATGAATAAGAAAATCCAAGTATTTTAGGGTATACATGAGTTAAAATTTGATGCAGACATGATAATTAAAGATCAGATTCAGGTTCATATTGATAGGGAGTGGTATCAGATCATGACAGTGTGGTCGAGTAGAGCAATCTAGGGCATGGTTCAATTTTATTTCAAATTCATTGACTATGCAACAGACAATTAGCAACGAGGGCACTGAGTTTATCCGGTGAACCAAAATGCTTACAAGGCTATCTCATCATTATCCCCTATGCATATGCAACAATCCTAAATGAAACACTCTAGACTCGTTCCTAAATGTAATGCAACTACATGATACATGCTAGTGTCGAACTCCACTGCTCTGTCTTCATCCATCCCATCCTCAGCAGGCAATACATCGGGTTTGTGCAGAAGTTTGGTGGCTCTACGAGTATGCTCAGGCATGTAACTCGTCTTCCAGATCCTCATCTATAAGCTCATACCTCTCTGTCATCACTCTCACTATCTCAGCGAGTATGCTCAGGCTATCTCAGCTTTTCTTGTGAAGCTATCATATTCTCTCTGTTCTCTCTCTGGCCTTGAAGATGACGACTTTGTCTCATCCATGTTGTAGTCAGGATCAACAGAAGAACTGCCACTGTAATTACTCATGATTCTCCTGTAGAAATTTAGAACTCAAAACTCAAATGTCAATATGTTAGTTTCAAAGATAACAATGAAACCAAAATTGTTGTCAACAGGCAATGAAATGGACAAAATTGGTCGAGCACAATCTTGTACTCGAGTAAACTGAGCTGTTTCCGAGTTCCTCTTAGACGAATTGGATCGAGTAATGTACAGACCACGGTTGAGTAACTTTCTGAACTCGAGTAGCTCTACTGATTTGCTAGTGCCAGCAGTCGAGTAGTTCCTCAGCGAATCGGAATTGAAGCCTGGAATCTTGAAACGTGAAGCTTGGTCGAGTGATCGGCTCTAGGAGGTCGAGTGAATCGTCGAGGTCGAGTTCAGCCGGTGAAGTCCAGAGGTCGAGTAATCTTTCGGTGAGCCGGAATTAGTATGGTCGAAACCACAAATCGATGGTCGAGTCCTCTTTTTGTAATCGAGTAGTACGGTGAACAAGGTAGGGACTCGACTGCGGCGGCGCAGAGGTGGTCGAGTGACAAAGTGAGAACAAAGTGATGGCGAACGGCGAAATGAAAAGGTCGAGTGACGGAGGAAATGAACTGGTGACGGCGGCGCGGAGGTCTAGTGCTTTTTGGAGGTCGAGTAGTCGAATGGGGTCGAGTGTGAGGTGGTGAATTTTTGCGAAGTGCGGTGAGGAAGAGAGGTTGAATTAGGTCGAGTGGTTGAAAAAGAATGAAGATAGGTTGGTCGAGTGATTTTTCGAAAGGTGTGGTCAAAATTGACTTTGACATTCTCTCTCCATCTTATCCTTAGTGCGTGGTCCACATTCTGTTGACTGGGAAAAACTACAGGAAATCTACTGTAAGCTGCAGAAAATCCCTGCAAGTCTCTGTAGCTCCTGTTGGTCGAGTACAGTGATGATTTAAAATTTTTGGGTTTTAAACATCACATATACTCGACAGATGTACTCGAATTCAGGGTCTCCAGATGCAACAGAAAACTTTCAAAATTTTGCACTCCACCAGGCCATATACTCGATCTCCAGGTCTTCTGTAGAGTAAATTTTTTGAATTTTTACTCTATCTCCACGCTGTTCCGTTATTCCTGAGAAACACAAACACAACTAAGACAAATCAAAGATAACAAGAAAAGGAAAATTTATTTAAAAAAATAGTCATGGGACTTCCTGCCAAGTGAGCTTGTTTAAAGTCTCTAACTTGACTCCTCACACTCATCAAGAAGAAAATGAATGATAGAGACGGTCTGCATAATCATCTCTGATATCATCATCATACTCAGCGTCCTCCCTGGAGAGGTAGAATACTCAATTCCCTTTTCTTCAAAATAAGCTTCTTTCTCTTCTAGAGGGTAATCTGTCTCTTCAGACCATCTTGAAGTGAACTTTTTTCTCGGGATAGTGTTAATCCCGCCTTTAGGTTGAGCTTCCTTCTGCATCTGATTCAGCTTACTCCTAAGTTCCTCAATAGAGTGAGCCAGCCTTTCTACAGTTTCTTCTTGCTTATCAGACCTCTTTTTAAGCTCTTTTATTTCCTCAGTCTCATACCCTTCTCATGGGATCACTCTATAGGCTTCAGAGGTTTTTTCATATTCTGTTGACCCTTGTGGAATTTTGTTGATGTCAAACTGCAACTTGATGTGCTTTCCCAGGTTGAGACTTATTTTCCCTTCCCTGACATCTATCACTACTCCCACTGAAGCTAAGAAGGGTCTTCCCAGGATTAAGAGATCCTTATGCTCTACTTCCATATCCAACACCACGAAGTCTGTAGGCACTTCTACTCCATTAATCATGACTGGTAGATTTTTCAGCTTGCCGAAGGATTTTCTCGAAGACCTATCCGCAATGATCAAAGTCAGGTCACAAGGTTTATACTGAATAAACTCTAACCTTCTTGCCACAGAGAGTGGCATTAAGCTGACAGAGGCTCCGAGATCGCACAGACAATCGCTGAAAGCTAATTCCCCAATGGAACATGGTAGAGTGAAAGATCCAGGATCTTCTAACTTTTCTTAAACAATCCTCTGGTCAGCAGCTCGAGATGGAGTGGCATCTCTTTCAACATCTGAATCGTGATACATCTTGATCCTTTCCAGTATAGAATTTCTTACATCTTTGTGAGGATCAGGAATCAGGTTGAGAACTTGTAACGCCCGCGATCGTCCGGATCGGGGCCTTTCAGAACTTCCATCAGTGGCATTACTGCTTCAATCTCGTCCAGCTGCTTCGCTACAACAGACTTGTATCTCTCCATCCACGCTTTCCTGAATGTCCACGGAAGAGCACGTGAGGGTAATGGAGTAGGTTTGAATCGTTTCCCCATTCTCTCCATTATGGCGGCCTTCTCTTCCGAGGTGGATTGAATGAGATGGCGAGAACCAGCAGAATGGTTAAATTCAACAACAGACTCTTGAATCTGAGTAGAAGCCTCTCCTTCTTGAACATCACTGTCCCCAGTGATTAAATCAGGGACATGTCGAGTTGGCAGCTCTCGATAATGGCAGATGGTGATGGCGTGAGTAGTTACATACTCTTTTGGATTCTGTATTGACTTCCCAGGAAGTCCTGTAACTTTAGGTGTAGAGGTAGATGCTAATTGGCCTTCCAAATATCTGACTTTGGTTTTCAATGCCTCCACTTTGGCATTCAGGTTACTGTAGCTGCAGTCCAGCTTATGGTGTAATTCAGATAACTTCTTAGCAATTTCCATGGAGCTAGATGCTTGTCCCTGTAGCAGCTGTTGTACCATCTGTTTCATTTCAGCATCAGGAGCAGCAGGACCTTGGTTCGGCTGAGGTGCAAACCCAGGTGGTGGTTGCGGCTGGTAGTTCCACTGGAATTGCTGCTTGGGAACAAACCTTGGTTATAGGGAACAAAAGGTTTGTTCTTACCTTGTTGTTGCTGTGGAGGATACACTCGATCTTGTGGATTAGCAACGTTGGTGCTGCGGTAGGAGAGGTTAGGGTTGTTGGTTTTGAAGTTGTTATACCCCTTGTAGCCACTCTGGTTGTTGTTGATGTAACTTACTTCTTCCAACTGGTTACCCTCCCCATCTTGGACTTGATACTGCTCGTCATCAACGAGGAAGTGCACATGCTTCTGCTGGCTAAGAAGAATCTTGTCCAGCTTGTCATTCAGCGCTTTGATCTCCTTCCTGTGTTTGTCATCAGAGTCAGCTGTGCTTTTGACGCTCCTATCGTTGTCCTCGTTGTAATTACCATCTGATTGAGCAAGGTTCTCAACCAATTCCCAGCCTTCTTCAACATCCTTGTTCTAGAAATTCTCATTGCTGGCGGTATCCAGAAGCATTCTGATGCTTGGTAGAACTCCTCTGTAAAGAGTGCTGAGTAGAGAGGCTTTAGTGAAGCCATGATGAGGGCATTGGTTGGTATAACCCTTGAAACGCTCCCATGCTTCACAGAACCTTTCACCCGCCTTCTGTAAAAAGCCTGAGATCTCATTTCTTAGTCTTGCAGTTCTGGCATTGGAGAAGAACTTTGCCAGAAAAGCTTTCTTGCAATCATCCCAGGTGGTGATTGAGTCATGGGGCAGATTCTTCTCCCAGATATGTGCTTTATCGCCCAAGGAGAATGGAAACAACATAGGTAGACCATGGAACTTGTTTCCCTGAATCATCGAGATCAGACCACTCTTATTCTCGAAGTTGTTGTTCTGGATAGTAGGAGGGGCAATTCCTTTCCTCTGACGGTGATCATGTGGTGCATCTCCAGCACCAATGTTGGCAGGGTCATTTTGTTGATTCTGTTCGTCAGCCATTTCAAGTCGTTGGTGGTGTTCAAGGTCAAATGTGTTTATCCTTTCCCTAAGTCTTCTGTTGAAGAGGTCGATGGTTTCATTGAAAAGGATCTTCTGGTTGTGTTTTGATCTAGTTTGCATACATCAGAGTTGTACCTGGATCAAGAAGACAGCAACTGAAACACAAAGTTAGAAACCAAAGTGAAAATTAAAATAGAACTTTATCTAAGCAAGTCTGAAATCTCAAATGTAACAAACAAACACCCAATTGGCAACGGCGCCAAATTGATAATTAAGATCAATTAATCCTAAAGCACTATCATGTCGTTGTAGTACTGAAGGTTGTCAATCCAAATGGGTGTGATGCTAACAATCAAGATGTGATCAGAAGTCACTAAGTCATGCCAAGCAATAACAGGTTTTGGTGTGTTCTAGCAGTTCTAAGTGAACATGCAGAAAACAGAAATTCAAGCAGAAACAATAAAACACTCGACCAACACAGTTCGTTGCAGAGCACCAGGTGTAGTCGAGTGACAGGTCGAGTAATAGACAGAAAATGAAACAGGGATACTAGACTGCACAGTCTATTGCCAAACAACTGGGTGGTCGAGTATCAGGTCGAGTAACAGTAAAGAATTGCAGAAACTAAGCAATAGATGACAAAATGCAGTAAACAGCAGTAGAGTAAACAATAAATTCAATCAGATCAAGAATTCCCGAGGATGGGGTAATTGAATAGTTTCGTTTCCTCAGTTTACAGGTGATTGACATGCTCAATAATTATCCCTAGACAACAAGTTCATTAACCAAATCTAAGTCTCGCCGCAATAGAAACCCTCAAGTTAACCTAGTCCCAGACACAACCACCATTTACGAGAGCTAACCTAACAGGCATTACGAATCAACAAGTTAAAGCCAAAACACTCCCTGCAACCAATACTGATAATAGGTTTTTTAGTCAATTATCCTAAAACACCAATCATGTCGTTGTAGTATTTTACGTTGTCAATCCAAATAGGTGTGATGCTAACAATCAAGATGTGATCAGAAGTCACTAAGTCAAGCCAAGCAATAACAGGTTTTGGTGCGTTCTAGCAGTCCTAAGTGAACATGCAGAAAACAGAAAATCAAGCAGAAACAAATAAACACTCGACCAACACAGCTCGTTGCAGAGCACTGGGTGTGGTCGAGTGACAGGTCGAGTAACAGACAGATAATGTAACAGGGATACTCGACTGCACAGTCTGTTGCCAGACAACTGGGTGGTCGAGTAACAGTAAAGAATTGCAGCAACTAAGCAACAGATGACAAGATGCAGTAAACAACAGTAGAGTAAACAAAGAATTCAATCAGATAAAGAATTCCCGAGGATGGGCTAATCGAGTAGTTTCGTTTTCTCAGTTTACAGGTGATTGACATGCTCAATAAATTAACCTTAGACAACAAGTTCATTAACCAAATCTAAGTGCCACCGCAACAGAGACTCTCAAGTTAACCTAGTCCCAGACTCAATCACCATTGACGAGAGCTAACCTAACAGGCATTACGAATCAACAAGTTAAAGCCAAAACGCTCACTGCAATCAATACCTTGGTACAGGGTCACGAATCTCTGGAATTAGTGGTTCAGACATTTCATCGAACACCTTTTGGGCGCAGAAATGTCTGGGCTCAAATTCCAGTTGATCAGAAAGCAATAGGCATTAAGAACAACTAATCCAGAAGGGATCTATCAACCAATACTCAATCACCTAGCATACTGAGAATTCTACACTACTCTAACCGATCCTCAGAAACCTATTCACTACTCAGACATCATAACAGAAAGCATAAACGTTGAACAAGTTGAAAACATGATAACAACAGTGTAACAGCAGGATGATAACAGAATGAACAACAGTAAACGAAATCTAGAACAAAAGCTGAATACTGAATAGATAAAGAGAAATTCGGATTACAAAAGGTCTAGAACACAAGGTCTGCAGAAATAAAAACTGATAAAAACTTCTTCTGCGAAAATGTGAAGTACATGCTACTTATAGCCAAATATTCTGAAACCCTAATACTCAAAACGATGAAGTATTGGGACAGATTAAGAACTGTACTCGACCGACGTGGTCGAGTGGGAGGTCGAGTGTGTAGCTGCAGTCTTCTTTTTTTCCTTGTGCTCGAGTGTCTGGTTGAGTGCGGAATGAAGAAGGCTCTAAAGCTTGTCATCGAGTATGCAGTCGAGTGGTGTGATGGTGATACTCGACTTCCAGGTAGAGTGATGAGGTCGAGTAGTGGTCTTGCAATGAAGGTGAAGACACTCGACCTCGGGGTCGAGTGATGCGATCGAGTGATGGTCAGGTGATACTCGACTTCCAGGTTGAGTGATGAGGTCGAGTAGTGGTCTGTCAATGAAAGTGAAGACACTCGACCTCGGGGTCGAGTGATGTGATCGAGTGATGGTCAGGTGATGGAGATGAAGACGCTCGACCTCGTGGTCGAGTGGTGAGGTGAAGTTGTGATGTCTTCTACTCGACCTGGGGGTCGAGTGGTCTGTTGAGATCTTAAAGCTCCTACTCGACCTCTGGGTCGAGTGGTTTTGTCATGATCAGGTCTGCTTCTTCCAGATAGCTAGTCAACAGCTCCAAATCACCTAAAATCAACGCAAATATGCGACATGCATGCAAATCTATCCTACACATGTAAAGTGATGATAAATGATGAGAAATGGTGTAAAACAGTGATGATATGATGCTAAAGTGATGACAAATGGATGCTCAAAACATGCAAAATACACACTTATCAAATACCTTGGTACAGGGCCACGAATCTCTGGAATTAGTGGTTCAAACATTTCATCGAACACCTTTTGGGCGCGGAAATGTCTAGGCTCAAATTCATGTTGATCAGAAAGCAATAGGCATTAAGAGCAACTAATCCAGAAGGGATCTACCAATCAAACTCAACCACCTAGCATACTGAGAATTCTATACTACTCTAACCCATCCTCAGAAACCTATTCACTACTCAGACATCATTGCAGAAAACATAAACGTTGAACATAATGAAAACATGATAACAACAGTGTAATAGCAAGATGATAACAGGATGAACAACAGTAAACGAAAATCAAGAACAAATACTGAATACTAAATACTTAATAGATAAAGAGAAATCCGGATTATAAAAGGTCTAGAACACAGTGTCTATGGAATAAAACTAGATAAAAACTTCTTCTCGGTAATGTAAAGTACATGCTACTTATAGCAAAATATTCTGAAACCCTAATACTTCAAACGACGCAGTATTGGGACGGGTTAAGAACTGTACTCGACCCAGGTGGTCGAGCGAGTGGTCGAGTGATAAGCTGGAGTCTTCTTTTCTTTCTTGTGCTCGAGTGTCTGGTTGAGTGCGGAATGGAGAAGACTCTAAAGCTCGACATCGAGTATGTAGTCGAGTGGTGGTGATGGAGATACTCGACTTCCAGGTAAAGTGATGTGATCGAGTGGCGGTGAGGTGGTGGAGGTGAAGACACTCGTCCTCGGGGTCGAGTGATGAGGTGAAATGATGAAGGCCTCTACTTGATGAGGGGGTCGAGTTGTCTGTTGAGGTTGTGAAGCGTCTACTCGAATTGGGGGTCGAGTGGTTTGGCATGATCAAGTCCGCTTCTTCCAATTAGCTCGTCAACAGCTCCAAATCACCTGAAAACAACAAAAATATGCAACATGCATGCAAAACTATCCTAAACATGCAAAGTGATGACAAATGATGAGAAATGGTATAAAACAGTGATGATATGATGCTAAAGTGATGACAAATGGATGCTCAAAACATGCAAAATACACACTTATCAGTTAGCGTTTCAAAGTGAAATATGATTAGATGTCATGTGTATGATTGAATATAAAATTAGAACCTCAATGAGATCCCGAAAAGTAAAGTAGTGCTTCCTTGTTATACGATTCAAAACAAAAAACTCATAAGAACTTTGACTTCACCATCAAAGCTTTGAGAATCAAAAAGTAGCTTGGTGAGCGGATTTATAGTCAAATATGACTAGATGCTTTGTGTATCGTTAAGCATAAGAACTAGAACTGTAACCAGATTCCAGAAGCTAAAGTAAGATTTTGGTTATAAAGTTTGGGGACTATGGTTTAGGATTTAGGGTTTAGGTTTTAGGGTTTTGGGTTTTTAATTTAGGGTGTAGGATTTATGTTTAGGGTTTAAGGTTTTAGGTTTAGTGTTAAGGACCAAATATACTTTAAGAAGTAAGCACAATCTTTGTAAGCGTTTTGGAATCAAATATCACAAGATGACAGGCAGATGATTGAGTTTTAGGGCTAAAACCACAACTAGGGCTGTGAACCTAAATTTATCTTTCCCTATTAGAAGATCCAAAACCAAAAATCATACGAACTTAGGCTTCCCGAAAGGTAAAGTATTGTTTCCCTATTGTATGATTCAAAACCAAAAACTCTTAAGAACTTCGGCTTCACCATCAAAGCTTTGACAATCAAGAATCTTGGTTAGCGGATTTGTAGTCAAATATGACTAGATGCTTTGTGTATCATTGAGCATAAGAACTAGAACCGCAACCGGATTCCAAAATCTAAACTAGGATTTAGGTTTTAAAGTTTGGGATCTATGGTTTAGGGTTTAGTGTTTAGGTTTAAGGGTTAAGAGTTTAGGGTTTACGGTTTAGGGTTTAGGGTTTAGGATTTAGGATTT